GAAATGCGTGGGCAATACGGGGCTGAACCCCAACAGGCATGTGCATATAATCTAGGGACCGAGGGCAGATTTCGAGACGAGGGAGACATATATTCTGGAGCTCCGCTATCATCCTTTAGACCCGGAGCATCGATGGATGGGAGAGAAAATTCCGGAGAGGGCTTTTATAGAGTCTGCACCTAAAGGTGCTCCGGTACAAAAGCTTTAGCCTGTGAAAGCACTGTCAGAGATCCAAACTGGAAGCTCTCATCGGGTACACGTCCTCCAGGAGACGTCCTCCAGGAGACGTCCTCCAGGAGACGCAGTGGTGAAGCGTTCATTCTCCTGTCAGAAGCCACGGCTGCGAAGCCTTTCCCTCGGTTAAGCAGAGGGCCGCTGGACCGGAGGCCAGTTTTCAGCCGCCGACGTGATTTACCGCTCCCTCGTAGGCGGGAGGGAGGGAGGTCACGACCTCAGGGGCGGGGGGGGGGGGAGGTAGCACGCGATGGTTTACGATGGCGGCGCCGGGCCTCGTCTGACCTGCTTCCTCTGGAGCTTCTTTAAAAACAGATATTTCTGGCTTCCTGGTGGCTGAAACTCAAACTCGGCTGCAGCGTGCGGCTCGCGCGCCGATTGTCATCTCTCGCTCTCGAATGTTTCCCGTCACCAACGAGACCAAAATAAAAAAAATAAAAAAAACAGGAAGTGTTTGGTATTGGCCCCACATTAGGGCAGCTGGGGGCTCGTTGGTTCACCCACCGAGTGGAGTTTTGTGCAGACAGGAAGAGGTTAAAGCAACAACACATCTGGTAGAAAGGGAGGGGGGGTCAGATGCTTCCTGCAGCGACACACGTTGAGCAACAGGCTCATGGGAAGCATCGCCGGGCCTTAAGCGGAGCTTCGGGAGGACGCGGGAGACCCGGATTAGTCGCAAACGTCCCCGCAGACGTTCAAGCGGAGATGACGGCGCTTCTCCTCCAAATCACAGATTTTTTTTTTTTTTTTCTGGCTCCGCGAAGCCGCTGCAACGGTAAAAGCGTAAATGCGCTCGGCGGACCGCGACGCCGGCTGAAAGGAACCGCTGGAACGACGCCGCTGGCGAACAGCGGACGCTTTTTCACGCCAGCTGTTCCAAACTACGGACGCAGCACCATCGCCGTTTATTCGCCGGCTTATTGCCAAACGCACGGAGAGGCGGGCGAAACATCCCCTGGAGGCTTTGCTTCTTGCCCAGCAAAGCCCCCGGGGGGGGGGGTTTGGAAAGCAGCATTAAAAAAACGCCAGCTGTGTGCGAAGCTTTTAACCAGCACGCTTTCATCCTACGGACTGGTTTGCAGTAAACATCTGGACGCTTGCGTGCAGATTTACACGCCGGCGTGTAACAGGTGAAAAGTGCAATGTTTGTAGGGAGTAAATCTCTATCATTGGCGCTCACACGGGCGGGGGGTATGGGGCGAAGGGGGGGGCGGTGTTAACCCTTGACCTTGAGTCTAACTCACGACCTCACAGGTCACAGGCGCCCTGACCTTGCTGCACGTACGCGCGCAACAGCTTTCAGTGAAGGCTCCTGGGAACATTTGATCAAGGGCGAATGATATCACCCCCCCTCCCCCCTCATCGCCACACCCCCTTTTCTTCTGCAGAACCAACATACATCGCAGCGCCAGATGTTACAGCTGCATCGTGACCGTTTGTGCTGGAGGACCATTCGGGTGAAGTGGTAGTCGTCCATCGGGGGTCCCCGAGGGCCCGAAAGGGAAGCTACAGTGGTCCTTTCCCTCTCCACCCATTGTGGAGGCATCCACCCCCCCCCCCCCCCCCACACACACACACACACACAAAAATGAGAAGTGTTTGACCGCGGGCGCGCATAACTTGGCACACAGCTGGGCGAGGAGCGGTCCACCTCCCAGGGGGCGTACAGGTTCATGTGGACCGGCCGGTTGGAGGGGATGCTGACCGGATTGCAGGGCTTCATGTGCGGCGACGGGACGCCCTCGGTTCGGGGGAGCCCTCCTCCGCGCTCCGACATGCCGGAAGTGGGTGAAGGGCTTTAGGTCGCAGCCGAGGGGAGGAACGCGCGTGGCAGCCTTCCGCGTCCGCGTGTTGTCCCTTTTAAAAGTCGTCCTTCCTTCCTTCCTTTCTTCCTCCCGTCGTTGCCTCGCCTCCTCCTCGTCGTCCTCCCCCCTCCGGCTCCTGCTGGCGCAAACGCGTAGAAACGCGACGGGAAGTTGGTCCGCTCCGTGCTACTCGCCGCCCGATGCTGAAAACATTGTCCTTCTAACACAAAAAGCAGGCGCGAAAGACCCCCGTGCATCTGCGTTTGTGCGCGCGCGAGAGCCCGACGGCTGCGGGGAAAGGTGGAAGGGGG